TCTCTGAGAATAGGTCCTTTATTTCTTTGGTTAAGTTTATTCCTAGGTATCTTAATTTTTTTGCTGTGATGGTAAATGTGTGTTTTTTTGTTTTTTTTTTTTTTTTAGTTTCTCTTTCTGTGAGTTCATTATTGGTGTATAAGAATGCCATCGATTTCTTGATGTTAATTTTGTATCCTGCTACTTTGCCAAATTCATTTATTAAGTCTAGTAAAATTTTGATGGAGTCTTTGGGGTTTTCTACATATAGTATCATGTCATCTGCGAAAAATGACAGTTTCACTTCCTCCTTTCCCATTTGGATCCCTTTCATTTTTTCCTTCTGTCTGATTGCTGTGGCTAAGACTTTCAATACTATGTTAAATAAGAGTGACGAAAATAGGCATCCTTGCATTCTTCTTGTTCTTAAGGGAAATGCTTTTAATTTTTGCCCATTTAGTATCATGTTGGCTGTAGGTCTTTCATATATGACCTTTATTATGTTGAGATATGATCCCTCTATTCCCAGATTGCTGAGCGTTTTTATCAGCAATTGGTGCTGGATTTTGTCGAATGCTTTTTCAGCATCTATTAATATGATCATGTGATTTTTACCTTTCATTTTGTTTATGTGGTGTATCACATTTATTGATTTGCGAATATTGTACCAACCTTGGATCTCTGGGATGAATCCCACTTGGTCATGGTAAATATATTTTTTTTTTTTGATGTATTGCTGGATTCCATTTGCTAGTATTTTGTTCAGGATTCTGGTGTCTATGTTCATCAGGGATATTGGTTTGTAGTTTTCTTTCTTTGCAGTGTCTTTTTCTGATTTTGGAATGAGAATTATGCTGGCCTCATAAAACAAGTTTGGAAGTCTTCCTTCTTCTTGAATTTTTCGAAATAGTTTGAGGAGAATGGGTATTAGTTCTTCTTTGAATGTTTGGTAAAATTTCCCTGTGAAGCCATCCGGGCCTGGGCTTTTCTTTGCTGGGAGAGTCTTGATTACATCTTAATTTTTTTCTGTTGTTATTGGTCTATTCAAGGTTTTTTTTTTTTTTTTTTTTTTTATCTCTTTCCAGTTCAGTTTTGGGAGACTATGTGTTTCTATAGAAATTGATCCATTTTACTTAGATTGTCGAATTTGTTGGTGTATAATTGTTCATAATATTTGTTAAAAATCTGTTTTATTTCTGTGGTGTCAGTTATCATTTCTCCTTTTTCATTTCTGATTTTGTGTATTTGGTTTCTCTCTCTTTGTTTCTTGGTGAGTCTAGCTAAGGGTCCCTCAATCTTGTTTATGTTTTCAAACAACCAGCTCTTTGTTTCATTGATGCTTTGAATTATTATTTTTTTTTGGTCTCCATGTCATTTATTTCTGCTCTGATCTTTACTTTTTCCTTCATTCTACTTAATCTGGGGTTTTCTTTTTGTTTGCTTTCTAGTTATTTTAGTTGTGAGGTTAGATATTCTGTTAGAAATTTTTCTTGCTTCTTGAGGTAGACATGTAGTGCTATAAACTTCCCTCTCAGAACTGCTTTTGCTCCATCCCATAGATTTTGTGTTTCTGTGTGTTTATTTTCACTGGTTTCCAGGAAATTTTTAATTTCTTTCTTGATCTCCATGGTAACCTATTCCTTGTTCAATAACATGCTATTTAGCCTCCATGTTTTCAAGTGTCTTTGCATGTTCTTATTGCAGTTGATTTCTGCTTGCATGCCATTGTGATCTGAAAAGATGCTTGATATGATTTCATCTTCTTGAACTTGTAGAGACTTAGTTTGTGTCCTAACATGTGGTCTATCTTTGAGAATGTCCCATGCGCACTTGAGAGGAGTGTGAATTCTGCAGTTTTGGGGTGTAATTCTCTGTAGATATTTATTAAATCCATTTGATCTAGTGCTTCATTTAGGGTCTGTGTTTCCTTGTTAATTTTTTGTCTACTGATGTCAGCGGGGTGTTGAAGTCCCCTGCTATGAATGTATTGCTGTTAATTTCTCTTTTGAAGTCCCCCAAAAGATGTTTAATGTATGTTGGTGCTCCTAAATTGGGTGCATATATGTTTACCAAGGTTATATCTTCCTGTTGGATAGATGCTTTCCATATTATGTAGTGGCCTTCTTTGTCTCTAGTTATGGCCTTCATTTTGAAATCTCCTTTATCAGATATGAGTATTGCTATGCCAGCTTTTTTTTTTTTTTTCTTTCTGTTGGCTTGAAAGATTTTTTTCCATCCCTTCACTTTTAACCTATGTGAGTCTTTTGTTGTGAGGTGGGTGTCTTGTAAACAACATATATGTGAGTCACGCTTTTGTATCCAGTCAACTGCTCTGTGTGTTTTTATTCATGCATTCAAACCACTCACATTTAAGGTGATAATTGACATGTACTTATTTATTGCCATTTTTGTTTAGTGTGGTTCTATTTGTCTTCCTATTTCTTCTACTAATTATAGCAGTCCTTTTAGCATATCTTGCAGTGCTGGTTTGGTGTTAATATATTCCCTTAGTCTTTTTTTTTGTCCGGAAAGCTCTTTATTTGACCTTCTATTTTGAATGATAGCCTTGCTGGATAGAGTAGTCCTCAATTCAGATCCTTGTTTTTAATCGCCTTGGTTGCTTCATGCCACTCCCTTCTGGCCTGTAGTGTTTCTGTTGAGAAGTCAGCTGAGAGCTTTATGGGGTTTCCTTTGTAGGTAACCTGTTGCTTACCTCTTGCTGCCTTTAGGATTCTCTCTTTGTCTTTAATTTTGGGCATTTCATTTACTATGTGTCTTGGTCTGAGGCTGTTAGGGTTCTTCTTACTTGGGGCTCTCTGTGCTTCTTAAACTTGAATGCCTTCTTTCTTCACCAAGTTAGGATAGTTTTCTGTCATTATTTCTTCAAATATGTTCTCTAACCCTTGCCCATTTTCCTCCTATTCAGGGACTCCTATGATGCAAATATTATTACATTTCCAGTTGTTCCCCAGTTCTCTCAAGCTTTCTTCCTGTTTTTTAATCATTTTTTCCTTTTGGTTTTCTGATTGGTTGATTTTTTTCTACCCTGTCTTCTAATTCACTGATCTGGACCTCAGCTTCCTCTACTCTGCTGGTTAGTCCTTCCAATGTGTTCTTAGTTTCTGCTATGTCATTCTTTATTTTCACTTGGTTGGTTTTCACTGTTTCTGTATCTTTACTCATGGTGCTGATGTCCTTACTCATCCTGTTGAGCTTCCTCAAGATCATGGCTCTGATCTCTACCTCTGATAATTTGCTTAGCTGTATTTCATTGATCTCATCTTCGATAGAGTCCGCTTGTTCTTTAATGTGGGATTTGTTTCTTTGTATCACCATTTTGGCCATCTCAGTGGGTTTTGGAGCCTGCCAAAATTTCCCTGTGGGTGTTTGTGTTCTGCTGTTTGTGGCTCCCTCTACTGGGTTCGGATTAACCTGTGTGTGCCCACATTAAATACCACTGTCAAGTCTTAGTTTCCTGGGTAGATTTGCAAGCCCAGAAAAGGTTCAGTTATCCTCTAGCTTTTTTTCTGGTTGCTAGTGGTCTCAGTTACTCAGTGCCTTGGAATGTAGCTTTGGTGTTCTGCCTAAGAGGATTTCTAGAAGGTGGGATAGATGCTGGTTGTTAATGAGCCTCAATTTTTATTTCTTTGCCTCACCTGGGAAAGGCTGAATCTCTGAGAGACGGGGCTGCTGCTTTTCCCCACAGCTCTGAGAAGGAGCACACTGGCCATAGTCCTTTGTGGCCGCAACTCAGCAGAAATTCTGAGTGGCCTCCAAATCCCGGGTGCCCTCACAGAGTTGCAGCCCAGTCTGCCCTCCCTCTGCTGTAGCCCCCGGGTGATTGGCTGTGGCTATTTTAGTGCTCTGTCCTGGCTTTCTGTGCTGTGGAGCAGGCTTGGTCTATTCCCCAAGGGCACTGCTCACATCTAAGACTGCTGCTGTCCTTGGGCTCCCAGCCCACCACCCTCTTGAGCCTCCGCAGATCCTACCAGTGTCCCTGGTTATATGGTCCTTTCCTGCTGCTTTTCTGTTACTTTTTTTCTGAGGTTTCGTCTTTATTTTTGTTGTAATTCCTGTTTGGTCCTGGGAGATCCTCTGCGTGGCTTCTATTCACTCCGCCTTTTTTTTTTTTTACAACCTCTAAGCCTATCTTGTGCACAGCTGGGACACACAGGCCTTTCTGGTGCCCCCACACCCCACAGGACCTGTGGGTAACTGGATGGCACAGTCCCTGCTTGGTGGCACAGGCCTCTCCAGTGCCCCTGCGCCCTACAGGTCCTGTGGGCGGGCAGCTGGATTGCTGCAGTCTCTCTAGGGCTCAGGCTTCCCACTGCACTTGTGAGCTACTGGACTGCTCCAGCATCTGTGGAACCCCAGGTCTTGCTACTGGTGGCTGGGGAGTGCTACCCCGTGGGGCTCAGCTTTTACTGTAGATTTTGGGGATGGTCTCAGCTGCTGGTCTATGCTTCTATTGCCTAGGGATAGATGTTTGCTCCCCAACCTCTGTTGCTGGGGGTATATATCAACTCTAATCGGGCTGTTACTGTGGGGGATGGTGCTGGGCTACAGGCTGTCCATGGCTTCTGTGACCAGCACCTTGGCATCTCCACTTCTGTGCACTGGTCTGTGTTGACACAGGGTGTCCACTGGTCTGATGGTGCCAGGTGCGCTGGTGGTCTCAAGTTGCTGGGCCCTAGCAGCTCCCACTGCCTCCTTCTGGGGAAGACCCGGGATCTTCCAAAATGGTGGGACCTCCCGGTGGCACTGGGAGAAGCGCCCTGCAGGGCCACTTACTGTGGTAACCAGCTGCTCAGTCCACAGCACAGGAACATCTGCTTCGTGGCTCTGCACTGCTCGAGTTTGGTCGTCCACCTTCATGTCCACTCACACTTTCTCACACACTCGCTCACTCTCTCACACACTCACCCTCCCTCCAGTCCTGCCTGCTGCCATCTTTTTTCTCTCCATAAGATATCTTTTTAGAGAAGTAAATTGTTATTTTTATTCTTTTTTTTGAACAGGTGTTCCCTCTGAGAGATGGATAGTAAATTTTGACAAAGACTTTGCAGATGGCCTTGCTTTTGCCACAGCATTGGGAGCCTATTGCCCATTTCTGGTAAGAGTTATTTTTATGCAGAATGGTCTTCTATTATTTGAAATAGCTTAGTAATTAAAATTCGAAGTATTTTCTGCAAACTGATTCTTTTAAATGTTTTGATTGTATGTAAGGCCAGAATCTGCATGTCTAGCATTCCCATTTTTGTTTATTCTTGTATTTTGATTGCAGTAGTCTACTATGGACAAATGTTAATGTTTAAACTATTCCTTGCTGAATTATAGAGAACAGTTAAAAAGCAGTACATCTTAATCTATAACTGAAAGGTTTGATTGTTGCCTTTTCCAGATTGAGCCTTATTTTGAAAATATGTACACACAACCAAAAAGTCCTGAACAGTATTTTCACAATTGCCTGATTATTGTGAATAGTCTTCGTGAAATTGACTTGAACATGGGCATACAGGTGAGTGCCTTTATATAATACATTCTATAAATATTTTAGGAGTTTTTTCTTATTTATTTCTAAGCTTTATTAAGTATGATTGACAAATTAATATATATATATTTAGTTTGTTTGATATTATTTTTCTAGGTGTACATCATGATGATATATATATATATATATATGTATATGATTACCACAATCAGGTTAATTAAAACATCCATCACCTCACATAGTTACCATTTGTTGTATGTGTGATGAGAACACTTAAGATCTACTCTCTTAGCAAATTTTTTAAGTTTGCAATTCACTATTAACTACTCTAATGACTATGATTTACATTATATTCTCAAAACTTATTCATCTTATAACTGAAAGTTTGTACCCTCTGACAAACATCTAATTTCCTCCATCTCTACCCCCTAGCAAAGACTGTTCTCATGAGTTTGACTTTTTATGTTCCACATATAATTGAATTCATACAATACTTGTCCCTCTGTGTCTGGCTTATTTCAGTTAGCACAGTGTCCTCTAGGTTCATCCATGTTGTCACAAATGGCAGAATTAATTTTTTTTATGAGTAAATAATATTTCATTGTAAGTATGTACTACATTTTCTTTATCCATTCATCTGTCCTCAGACACTTAGCTGTTTCCATATTTTGACTATTGTGAATCTGTAATTGAATATGGCAGTATAGGTATTTCCACAATAGTGATTTCATTTTCTCTGGCTATATACTCAGAAATAGGATTGATGGAGTAGTTCTGTTTTAAATTTTTTGAGGGGCATCCCTACTATTTTTCATAGTGGCTGTACCATTCCTACCAATAGTACACAGGGTTCCCTTTTCTCTGCATCCTCTCCAACACTTATTATTTTTTGTCCTTTTGATAATAACCATTATGACAATTGTGAGGTGATATCTCATTGTGGTTTTAACTTACATTTTCCTTATGATTAGTGATGTTGAGCACTGTTTTATATACCTGTTGGCCATTAGTATGTCTTTGGAAAAAAATGTTAGTTGACTCTGTTATAATATTTCTTTTTTCACAAATTTTAAACTAAATTAAAACAGTCTTTTCATGGGAAATTGTTAAAATGTAAAAATTGAGATATGACTTTATAGAATTCTCCTGGATATTTTTAAATGTGTATAATTATATACATCCAACTATACATAAAATAAAAGTTCTAGTGATAGGTCCAGTTTTCTCAAACCACAAGAATGAGTGCTTTATGAACCTTACTGAACTCTAAGTGGATTAAAGGAGCAGAGTTGTTTGAATATAGATATTGTATTATTGTCTTCTAACTTAGTAGCAAAAAAGAAAATATTTTACTTTGGTTTTAAAATAAGTATTCATGTAGAGATCACAATGGCAACATACATTTTGATTGCATTGGGACCTCCAGGTTGTAATTCCATCTAGCTTTTCCCATTAAGTCCTCAATAGTAATAATTAAAATATACTGTATGCTTAAGATTTTTGAGTACTTTGTTACTTTAGAGTAATGAAACAGTATAATAAATTATTCCTGACTTTGAAGAATATACAAACTCATTGAATTATCAAGATCTATGTATACTAAATGATAAATAATATTCTACTTATTTGTCAGTGTGTGTAAAAAATGAAGTGTAGAATTCAGATAAGGGAAGAGATCAGTGTGATCTAGATTGATCCACCAAATACTTTGTGAAAGAGACAGGACTTAACTGGGTTCTTGAAGGGTGAATTGGATTTGAGTTGAAAATGGTAAGAGAAGAAAGTATTTTTTCAGAGGATATGGCATAAACAGAATGTAGAATGTGTTTAAAATAAAGAAACAAAATTCAACTAAGTAAATGTAAAGATCTAGTTGGCTTCATTATGATTCATGAATCAAGCAACACTCCCTCCAACAAATAGAAAGGAGCTCCATGTAGCTGTAAAAAGTGGAGGATTTTTGTAGGCAGAAAGGAAGGGACTGGGAAAGAGTAGATTGTTTCAGGCAAGGTCACCTTTATTTGGGGGACAGCAGTGGCCTATCAGGAACTGGTGCTGACCAGGAAATTCCAGACTGACTGGTTAGGATAACATTCTTGGGAGAGGCTGAAACTGCAATTAGGTTAGTATTGTCTCAGTTTGAACAACGTGGGCTTGGCACAATTGACTCTGTTTTGGGCCTGTTGTTTTTGTCTCTCTCTCTAACAAATGTGAACAAATTGCATATATTCAGGAAAATGTATGACTAGGTTGCCTAGGTTGAAACTTGGGATTAGAAATAGATATGGGCATATATTGGGATCTTGGATCAGTATAAAAAATCAGCAGTTTACCTTGTGGGTATTATGGGAATAAAGACATCTACTGTTATAACAATGGTCAGGATGGACTGAGAGGAGAGGGACTGGAGACAGAGAACACAGGGCAATCAAAATGTAATTTCAATTGGTCAAGAACGAAAGTATTTTCTTTCCTCATATCATTTTAATGGGACTTAAAATACTAATATGATATAGGAGACATGGTGAGATTTGCTACAAAAGAAGGGCAGAGGAGAAGGACCATTACAATAACTGAGTTTTTCATTCCATGATGCAGAGTGATTGATGATACTAGTACTTAAATGTGGGTTGATATAAGGAGGGTTCCTTATACCTGCTGGAAAAATTACATGTCATGAAAGTTTGCTTTTTTTTGTATTGAAATCACTTGCATGTTAAAGTCACTTTATACCATGTTCGATGTTTACATTCTTTTATGTTGGTAGAGTTGTGAAGAGAAACTGTAATGAAGGATTTTGGTCAGAGTTTTTGTATAAGAGAGTTTTAAAGATAAACTCTAATAAAAGATTTTGGTTTGAAGGAATAAAAGCATTACAGTTTCCATCAGTTGGACAAATTATTGAATTTCCTTTATGAAAGACACTGGATAGACTTTACAAGGGTTACAGATATGGTTAAACCACACTTATACCTTCAAAGATGTTAACTAACCAAGAGTGACGAAAACATGAAAAAGAGCTGATACAAAGCAGACAGTGAATGCCACAGTAGACACAGAAACAGTATGCTATGGGACTCAAAGGGGAGAGAAGTCATTTCTAATAAGGAAACCAGGAAAAGTTGCATAGGACACTTGGTGTTTAAGGTGGCCCTTGAGAATTTGCTGGAGGTTCTTAAAAATCTTAAAATATCTTTGTTTAGAAAATATAATTCATCATGTTACAGTTATCTCCTTTGGATCACAACCAGATGCTGACTCATTGCACAGGGCCCAGAAGGGCCCATACTGTTCCTTTTGTGGAAATTAAACTCTGTATTCAAATATTTAGTTAGTTCTTATCTTTAATAACTTGCCTACATCTGCTGACTACCATTATCTTTCTTAAAGAAATGTGGGACCACAGAATACTGATGAGAAACCTTGGAATTTTGGTATCTTTCTTAGTTCTTCTCAAATCATACTCACAAGGAGCTTTCTACCCTGCTGAGGCAGGCCAACTCCCTTATCTTTTTATTAACAACCCCCTCCCCAGTTACCTTTATTGGTAAACCTTACTATTTATTGACAAAACAAGAAAGGATAAACTCTTTTGTTCTTCTAAAAAAGGAAATATTTTTTTTGGAAATGTGAATTAGCAGATGATCTATAAAAATTATTCTCTGGTCTGGCTGGTGTGGCCCAGTGGTTGAGTGTCGACTCATGCACAAGAGGTCGCTGGTTTGATTTCCGGTCAGGACACATGCTCAACTTGTGGGCCCGATCCCCAGTAGGGGGCATGCAGGAGGTGGCCAATTGATGTTCTCCCTCATGGATGTTTCTGTCTCTTCTCACTTTCTCTCTCTCCAATATCAATAAAGGGAAAAACAATTTTTAATTATTCTCTGGTAACTGCTGCCAAATTTTAAATTCAAGTGCCTTAGTTCCACACAAAGTGAGTAGTCCCCCTCTTATCCACTGGAGGTATGTCAAGAGCCCCAGTGGATGCCTGGACTCTCTGTATACTATATATATATATATATATATGCTATGTTTTTCCTAAACATACATACTTATGATAAAGTTTAATTTATAGATGATAAAGTTTATCTTATAGATTAGATATGTTAAGAGATTAACAATAATAACTAATAATAAAGAACAATAATAATATACTGCAATAAAAGTTATGTAAATATGGTGTCTCAGCAAACTAGCACAGATTTCTTTTTTCTCAACAATTTCCTGGGTAGATTCATTCTTACAGTAGATCTAAGCAGCCTCAGCATACGATATTTTTTTCTTTCCTTATAAAGTTGAGAATTTTTACCTTTTCACTTAAAGGAAATACTTTACAGATTCTCTTTGGCATATCTGAACTGCCAACATCACTGCTCTTGTGCTTTGGGGATGTTATAAAGTAAAATAAGGGTGACTTGAGCTCAGGCACTGCAATACTGTGACAGTTGATCTGGTAACTGAGATGGCTACCACATGACTAAAGGGTGGATGGCATATACAGCATGGAGACACTGGACAGAGGGATTATTCACATCCTAGGCAGGACTAAGCAAGATTTCACTACACTACTGGGAACAGCACACAATTTACAACTTATTAATTATTTCTGGAATTTTTCTTTTAATATTTCTGGACTGCACTAGAACACAGGTAACTGAAACTGTAGAAAATGAAACCATGGATAAGGAGGGTGGCGGCTACTGTAACACTTTAGATTTCCATAGCTCTTGCACTATTTGCATTTGCAGGCCAGGCCTAGGTCATTTTGAGTTGCTAATTTGAATATGTGCCATTAATTCATACTGTGATCTTCATTTTCTGGAAGTGTAGAGAACTCCCTGTGCATTCACGACGACAGAGTTGCTTGTTTATCAGTAGAATTTTATGTGTCTTTGAATCCTTGCCTCAGACCAATCCCAGTTCCTTTTTGCTATGAATAATTTCCCCCCACTACCTCCACCTTGTTCTAAGAGATCAAAGGCACCACATAAACTCATAGAATCCTCTGTCTTCTACCGACTCTACTTTTTAGCTTCAACATGTATTCTGACTATATCCATTGTCTCTGCTGTTATTCCTCTGTAGTCTGGATTTTATCTCAGATCTATTCCAACAACCATCACTAATTTATCTTGTTTATCACTATAATTACATTTTATGCCTTATTATAATTTGTATATTCTGGGAAAAGTACTTCCCCAAACCTCTGCTGCTTGATCTGCTTGAATTATTGCTCTTGTGTTATTTCTTGTTCAGAAATCAAGTCCCTTGCCCTGGCATCCAAGCCCTCCATAATGTAATCCTTTGCACTCCTCAGTCTTTTCTTCCACGACCTGTCCTTTCTTACCCAATGCATGATTCAAATTGTACTACTTCTTCTTCCAAATGAGCACAGTACTTTCCTACATCCTTGCCCTGTAGTTATTTGTCTTTCTGATAGAATATACCCTTTACTTCACACCAAATATAACCTATTTAAAATCTAAACCATCTTCAAGGTCATTTCATGTGTTACCTCCTCCCTTGGGCTTTTGCTTGAAAATCTCTTGCCATCTTTTACCTAAGTAGTTGTCTACGTCTCAAGATTTCTTTTACTGCATTCTATCATACTTTAATAACTCAGGGATAGTGTCTTAGTCGCATTACTCTTATTAGTCATATTTCTAGTGCATAGTATTTTTCTGACCTCCGACTAGCTTTTATGGAATCTTTGAGGCTCTGAAGTAATCGTTATACTTAGAACACATCTCATTCATCATTTAATATTTAGGTCAAGCTCTTCTCATTCACAACAGTTTTTTTGTTAGTTTTGCTTACATTCCAGTACCATTGTCAATCAGTAACATTTTAAAATGTTTTAAAATATTTCAACAATTGATATACTAGGCTTTAGCTCCAGTTATATGTTTTATCTGTATATACTCTTATTTATATTTCTCTTCTTCAAAACTAGGCCTCTGACATCTGTGACCCTAATCCAGTCATGATACTCATGCTTTGTGTCTACATGCATGAAAGACTCCCTACATATATCCCCAAGGACTTGGTGATCTTTCCTTGTACTCTACATGACACTGTGATGAGACAGGTAAGGGTATACTTAGGGGCAAAGTATATATGGAGTTAAATACTTAAGAGGGGTGCCCTGGCTGGTTTTTCTCAGTGGTTAGAGCATCAGCTCGAGGACCAAAGAGTCTTGGGTTCAATTCCAGTCAAGGGCATGTACCTTGGTTGCAATTGGTCCCTGGCCCTGGTTGGGGTCGTGCGGGAGGCAGCCAGTCGATGTGTCCCTCTCACATCGATGTTTCTCTTTTCCTCTCTCTCTTCCCCTCTCTCCCACTCTACCTGAAGATAAATAGAAAAATATCCTTCGGTAAGGATTAAAAAAAATACTTAAGAGGGGTTTTGGGTACTTCTTTCCCAGCTGAAAACTAACAGAAGTATCAATGTGATACAATAAGCCTTAGCAAATGTTGCTCCTTCTAAACCAAAGGTATAGCAGAGTGAAAGGGACAAGTTCTGCTTAATAATAATCATCACCTGCAAGGAAATGATGGCTCTTTCATGCAATTGAAGAGTGGGGGTTGGGGACATGGAAAATGAAAGGTATGCACTTTGAAGGGCAAATTCTTTTAGGAAACTTGAAATCTATTTTATGTACAAAAGAACAGATACTATAAGTAAAAACTTGATATCTGAATGTGCTTGGCTTTCCTTTAGGAGGAGTAGTTCATACATCCAGATGGATTTTTTTGTTGTTGTTCAAATGAGGATATAGAAACGGAAGTAAAATGGGAGTGCTCCTGACCAGAGCCACCTCATTCTCTATAAATGATATTATATAAGCTGGAGGTGCTAAATGTGAAACAGTGAATTTTCTAATTTTCAGAAAAAAAATGAAAATTAAATTTTTGAGTCCTATGATAATAAAAAAATCTATATAAATATGTCCATATTTTACAAGTATTCTCTTTGAGAATCATTGTCCTCAATATCAAACAATGTTTCACAGGAACACTTGGGAAATATCTTCTACCATGCAATTTTAAATTGTTTATGTTTATCTAAGATTGTTTTCATAAAATCTTTAACCAGATTTATAGGTGGTAGTCTTCTTGCTTCTTTCTCAGGACACTATGGGCTGATAGAATCTTATTTTGTACAAAAATTATTTTACTGCTTTGGTCAGATCATGTTTATTTCTTTTCCTCAGGCTGTTATATATATTCCTCCCCATACTTATCAGTGGGGTGTTAATTTTATACTTCCGATGCAAAACTTATCTGTATTTGGTCTTAAAAATATGTGTCCCAGTGATGTTTTATTTGTAGATGTAACCTCTTTAAAAAAAAAATAACTGTATAGCCGCTGTGACAATATGAGCAATGATTGACAATATTCAGTTAAAATGTTGGGAAAAAATCCCAGTTGTTGTCTCAAATTGTAAAGGGCTCAATTTAGAGACTTTTCTTCAGCAGTATTTATTCTGATTAATTCCCTGACTGCAATGATATTCAAGGGCCTTGGGTACTAACTAGCCTAGAGCTATAATTATATTGGAGAGAACTTCTGACTTCAAAATAAAATTTCTAAAGAGTTAGAAATATTTTGCTTAAGCCTGCAGAAGACAGGAAGAGTCTGAATTAGATTAAGCAGTGATTTATTACAGTTAAATATTATTAACAATTCTTTAACTTTGACTATATGTTTGTATTTATTTATGTCTAATTGTTAATTTTAAATATTAGTTAATAACACAAGCTCATATTTAAAAATAAATTGTAATTGTGATGTTAAAAATAAAATTAAAACATACTACATTGGAAACAGGATTTCTCTCCAACTTAATTCTTTATTAGAAATATTCTTCACACCTTAAGATTATAGATGACATTGTACAGACACAGTTTTTATTTTTCACAAATGTAAGATACATTTTTTGAAGAAAACAATAAAAATCAAATATAAATGCTAAATAAAAATTAATTATAGCAAGCTTTTATTTTAAATTTTACTAAGAAAAAAATCATTCATTTGGAAGTTGCTGAGAAACCTAGACATAGTTTGCCGCATGCATCAGCACCATAAATGGCAGTGCCTAAGTCATAGAATGTCATTCTCACCAACCCTTTCAATCTTCCAGAATAAAGAAAAATCTCAGTCAGTGGATACTATAATTGAAAAGGTATTTCTGTAGCTGTATGCTTGAAATAGAAACACAATACTGGAACCATCAAACATAGGGTGATCAATGAAAAAAATGTAGGATGCAGTAATTTTCCTGAGACAATTTTATAGCTATTGACCCTCCACTCCCCTTTTTGAAAGAAACTTTACAGAGAAACACAATAGTTAAATACTGTCATTGCAAAATGGGAATCAAGGCTCCAAAGCTCTCTTTCCTTCCCTTCAACAGCTTTCCTTTCTTCCCATGTACCACTCACCACCCCTACATGAAATCCTAGAGTTGGGTGGAATACTCTGACTACAGATGAGCCCAATGACTTAGTGTCATCCATATGATATGGCAGTGAGAATGAATGTGTTCCTTAAGATCTCAGGGCTGATTATAGAAGTTCCAGGACTATAGGCAAATATTAGTGCACAGTGAATTTATTATTATTTTTAGCTTTTCTTTCCAGAAAATGGGAATTAACTCTGGGACTTAAAAAATCAGTTGGTCTGTTAATTAATTCCTTAGATACTGATATCTATACGTAGGCAAGCAATGTGAGACCCTAAAATCCATGGGGTAACTGAATATAGAAACTGTTCAGCACCAACAGACTTGTCCTGGTAGTTACCAAAGTCTTCATTGAAATATAAAAGTATTTAATGTAATATTTCAACAAACCTCTACCATATTCTTTACGATTTATTGTAATTGTACATAATGCTAGTTATTAACTCTTCAAATATCCATGTCTATGGTTCCTGGACTGCCTAAGTGCAGTTACCTTTTTTTTTTTTTTTTTTTTTACTTTTATTTGGCCAATCACCCATTTGCCCCAGGTCTTCTTTCTCTTTTGGGTCAGTACTTTCCATGATAACCTTGTGTCTTCCTACTGTGTTTTTTTATTTTTAATCCCCATTATAGTCTATATAAAGACTTGTGTAGTCAAGTGTTCATGGAATACTATCTAAAAATGAAGAAGCCCATTCTCCAATACTCCCCATCTCTCAGCATCAGAAAGGAAGGGACAGTCAAACCCTAGCTATACTATTGCTTCTAGACGAGGCTACCATCATTTCTGGCCTAGACCTCTGATTTTATTTTATTTTTTTTTATTTTTATTTTTTTTTATCTTCACCTGAGGACATTTTTCCATTTTTTGTTCAGGTAGAGTGGGAGGGAGAGAGAGGAACAGAGAGAGAGAGAAACATCGATGTGAAAGGGACACATCGAGTGGCTGCCACCCACACGACCGACCAGGGCTGGGGACAAACTGCAACCGAGGTATGTGCCCTTAGCGGGAACCGAACCCGGGTCTCTCTGGACTGCAGGCCGACGCTCTAACCACTGAGCCAAACCGGCCAGGGCATAGACCTCTGATTTTAAAGCTACCCTCTTATAACTTTCTACACTGACCAGCCAGAGTATCCTTTTTGTAAATTAGATTATATAAGTTTTATGTTTAAAATTCTCCAAAGATTTCCCTTTGCAATAAGAATAAAATCCAAGTTGCTAACTTTGGATTTCAAATCTTTGTGTCATTTCCTTACCTGAGAGCTCCTTCTCCCCACCCACTTTTGCTAAACTATATATATGCTGCTTTCGAATACAAAGTCTGCTTTCCTCCAGTTAGTACATTAGGAACAAATATGTTCATGATTACAATGTGTAACTCTCCTTGATAAATATAAGAAATGTTGTTTTTTAAATGTTATATTATTAAAATATTTTTTTCAAAATCGTGATCTTATTTGTACTCCCTTATTCTGCAACATAGATTCTAGTGACAAATCCAAGCTCCAAAGAATTAGTGTATAAAGCTGCAATTATTGGAAGAGATGCCGCTGACTTCTCCCTCTCCCAAACTGGGGATATTGTGACAATTCCTCCAAGGTAAGTCTTTGTTTATTTGTTTGTTTGTTTAATTTTGCTTCATTGAAGTTATCAGCCCTAGAGATTCAATGTGTGTTATAATTATTAAAAAGTCACCTGGTTTTATTTTTAACGGATATAAATGAGTGAAAAGACCATCACTCACATATAGATAATTTATTCTTATGCTGCAGAGATTCCTCATCAGTTTTGTTAAAAATTTTTGACAACGTAAAGCAGCTACATTTTATGTATGCATTTAATTTTAGTTCATTTTTCATGTACACTGGCTATAGAGGTTAGACAAATTATTTATGTAGTATTGTTTTGTTTTCTGCAGAAAACTGGAAGCAGTGTGTGCAGTTTCTGATTATAAAACCACTATGTACTCATTATAGAAAATTTAGCAACTATGAAAGTGTAAAGAAAAAAAGTAGAAGACTAGTAGTCATACCTGAAAGATACTCTATCCCTAGTCATTGTATATTTACACATAGGTAGGTAGGTAGGTAGGTAGGTAGGTAGATAATCTCATATATATATTTATGAGCACTTTCTTTTTCTTTGAATATTCCTATTTCATATCATTGTGTTATTAATTTGGGGTCACAGTAGCTTTATAAATGTCTGACTTTTATATCCTCATCTATTCTTGGTATTACTTTTTTCTTTAAAAATTTTTTTTCTTTATTGATTTCAGAGAGAGAGGAAAGGAGAGGGAGAGAGAGATAGAAATATTAATGAGAGAGAATATTGACTGGCTGCCTCCTGCATGCCCCCCACTGGGGATTTGGTCCACATCCTGGGTAGGTGCCTGACCTGGAATCGAACTGGTGACCTCTTGGTGCATGGGTCCTTGCTCTACTACTGAGCCTCACCGGCTGGGCTTATTTTTATTTTCATGAGGTCAGTTCTTATGTTTGTTTTTTGTTTGTTTGTTTGTTTGTTTGTTTTTTGGTCTCAGTGTTTCACATTGAAGGATTTACTCTAATGACTTGTGATACTTATTTATCCATTCATATGTAATACTGTAGTAATAGAAAAGTAAATTGTGAGGTTATATATGCACAGGTTTGCAAAGTGGTAAATTTCACTTTAGGGTGAAAACATTTCATGCCCAATTGCCTGGCATTCTGCAATGGCCTTGGGAAGAATAGGGCTGTCTGAACTGCATTTTGCCCTCACTGAAACTAGGCAATAGGGCAGCTTTGTTTCCTTTATTAGCCTCTGTGTAGAACTGTAGATGCTCATAGATGGCTCCCTCTAATTAGCAGCTTTAAAAAAATCCCTTTATTATCATTTTAATGAGATTTCTCTTATAGGCAGTAATCTCAGTTTCAGATACCATTGTGGCCTAGAACCCTTCTATCATGTCATTCAACAATTAAATGCTGGGCTTTAATACTGACCTATACAGGCTCTATGATCCAGCCTAATTTTTCTTACTTGGAAAATGTGCATCAGACTATGCGCTCACACTGTTGTCAGTGATAAATGTACTTACATAGGCGAAACACCTAGAACTTAACTGGACCCTATAGGAAGCAATTAGTAAGTATTTCCACCTCCCCTCAATTCAAAGTGCTGGTGATTCCTAGATGAAAACATCAACACAATTCACAATGTTTACAGTCTAGCAGAGTGCCATATAAGCAAATATACAATGAGGATATAATTTGATAATTATTTTATTTGTGATTCGTGTATAGAAGCAGAGGCAATGGAAAAAAGAAGCCACTTAAGTATGCTTGGGGAAACCACAGAAGGTTTCTCAGAAAACGTAATGCTTGAATCTCCATGTATATGGAAAACAATTATTCACTTTTCTGGATGCATTGTATTTTGTAGGCTTGAATACTATTATTAGGTGGATCTTTAAGTATCCCTTTAGCGAGACTAAATAATTTTATAGTCTTTGTTTTTTACAAATAGGATTCAGAAGCTATTTTGTTTTATTAAACAACAACAACAACAAAAAACCTGTGGCTTTATCATTATCAGACATTGTGTAATTATCTATGTGTACCACATCCTGCCTTAGATTCTGTCTAAATCACAATTAGTAATAGCTTTTTCTGCCAGCTGCAGATTTAAATTCCCAGAGATACAATTTATATAGAAAGATTAAACAGCTACACCAGCATATAAACAAACTTGTTTATTTCTGCATCTAACTTCATGACTAAATTTAGCTATAACCATAGAGTGACTATTGTAAAAGTGAAAGTATACTTTTAGAAAACCATTCTGTTTCTTCTTTTCCTCATTATTCTCATTGAGCCATATGGGCACTGACATTGATGTGTTATATATTTATTCTCCATCTTTTCCAAAAGCCAAGTAGAAGTAGTTTATGCGGTACATGTAATATGAAAGAGGATAAAACCTATAATTATGATATACATGCCTGCAGACCTAAGACATGACCTGAGGTGGACCATCCATTTGATTCTGAACTTTCTAATACATTCAGGAAGGAGTCCTGGTCATTTACATGCTTCAACATTACTACAAAAGTTTTTCTCTTTTATTTTTATTATTGACACTATTACAGATGTCCCCATTTTCCCCTTGCCCTCCTCCACCCAGCCCCCGTCCCCTCTTCCCTCCGATCATCCCCACACTGTTGTCTGTGTCCGTGGGTATGCATATATCTTCTTTGGCTAATCCCTTCAATTTATTTTCTCTTTTTATAAAAGGAATATCTATACTCAAGAGAAGATCAAATTTTCATGGTCCTAAAATCAGCCATTGCCTCATGGAAAGGATACTGTATTTTAAAATATGTTTCATAAGATTTAAGTATAGGTTCATGAATTCATTTACCAAGTGCATGTTATTTAGAATATGATCATTCTTGAACACTCTTCCATCAGCATCCATGGAGAGCCAGTCCATTATCTTGTGCTGTTGATTTTACCAAATGTATTTTAAATTTGTCATCTTTTTCTCTTAGCTACCTCTTTCATTCTAATTTAATGTACATTACCTTTAAACTGGGCTGCTACAAGGGACTCCTAAAAGGTTTCTCTTCAATTCATTCTCTATATCAGAATGGCAATGATTTTTTATTTATTTTATTTTTTATGCTCACCCAAGGACATTTTTTGATATTTTTGTTCAGATAGAGTGGGAGGGAGAGAGAGAGAGAGAAACATCAATGTGAAAGTGACACAACAAGTGGCTGCCACCCACATGACCCAGCCAGGGCCAGGGACAAACTGCAACCGAGGTACGTGCCCTTAGCGGGAACCAAACCCAGGTCTCTCTGGACTGCAGGCCAACGCTCTAACCACTGAGCCAAACCGGCCAGGGAGGCAATGATTTTTTAAAATGCAAATTTGGTCATGTTACTCTTCTACTTCAATTATTCCTGTAAATTCCCATCCCCATTATAATATAGAGTGAAGATCTCAACATGGTCCAGGTGGCTTTCATGGAAGGCTCTTGGCCATATTTTGCATCACAAAAAGTTTTGCTTTCTAAGCTTCAGCACCACTGGCTTTTGGTAAACTTTTCAAATATATTATAATTCCCCCATCAGAGTCCTTGGATGCCTTCTTTCCTCGCCTGCTCATTCTGGCATCTCATTTTCAACCATTATATCCCACTTCATCTGACCTTTCAGACTGTATCACACTCCCCGTTATGTGCTCTCATACCACTTCACATCAGACACATAGTTTGTAAGTTTCACTTTTATTTTTGTGATGACATATTGTCTATCATGTCCTATAAAACGTAAGATCCAGGAGATCAACAATAGTGTGTTTTTCTTATTAGTGTATCCCCAAAACTTAAAACAGTGCTTGGAATATTATAAGTTCTCTATAGATATCAATTGAATGAATGAATGATTTTATCTAACAATGGATTTTAGAATATCTAGAAAAATCCTAAATCACTCACAGGTACCTAACACAGAATTTGAGCTTATTATACCCAGAAAAAAGATTGTAAGAACAAATATTCCTTGTTCTCAATTAAATTCAGGTCCAAGATATTTTCATAATAGCCAAGAAAATGTGCTTTTGCACAAATTAAGGAGATTAGTAGTGATATATCTGGATATATCCCCACTCTTGCTAGATATGAGCTGTAATTTTTCTTAAAAATCAGTTTTGAGAATATTTCTATTGATTTGAAAGTCCCCCATTCATCTACTGTGCTGTTCCCTAGACTCATCCATTCAACATTAATTCCTCAATGGTTCTAGGGAAATTAAGCCAAATTCTGATACCCAAAGAATCTAGTCCCATCTCCATTCCCAAATATGTGTATCCTAAGGAAAGGCGGTAGGTGATAGTTTATACAAAGAATAACTGTGATATGCTGTATAATGCTAAATATGTTAAAAGCCAGAGCAAAAGTAAAGGTGAAATTTACCCAATATTATCACCCACAGTTGTGTCAAGGCAAGGCAAGGCTGAAAAATTCAGCCAGTAAAGAAACAATGAGCCCTGACTGGTTTGGCTCAGGAGTTAGAGCATCTGACAGCAGACCAAAGGGTTGCAGGTTCAGTTCCAGGTCAAGGGCATGTACCTGGGTTATAGGTTCGATCACTGGCCCTAGGCGGGGTCATGGGGGAGGCAGCCGATTGGTGTGCCTTTCTCACATTGTTGTTTCTCTGTCTCTCCCCTCCCTCCTTTCCACTCTATCTAAAAATTAATTTAAAAATATCCTTGGGTGAGGACTAACAAAAAACAAACAAACAAACAAAAGAAACAATAAAAAGCAGTTTTTACTTGGAGAATTCTTTATTTACATAAACAGTGAAAGCAAAAGTAATAAAGGGACTAGATTCCTCATGTCCCTTGTACAGCACACCAGAGCAAAAGGGGCCACATGGTAGTATCATGCACAATAGGACACCCTGTTGCTGACAGTCAGTTTCATGCTGCAACTGGATACTATTACAGCCTGTACCTTTAGCCTGAGGAGGCTTAGGTAGAAAGTCTCAGACCTCATCAGAAACTGTCTGGTGACACCCTCTTAGTGGAGTTTGGGAGGCAAGTGAGAAATGTTTTTGTAGTAGCACTTCATGAGCCTCCAAGCTCTTTTGTTAGGAGAAGATCATAGAACTTTCTGCAAAGACTTAACATCCACTGAAGGCAAGCCTTGCATTTGTGGCCTATGTGTTGTCATGCAGGGTTGCCAGGATGATATGGATCAGTCATTCCCCCACAGACTGGGAAGTGAAATCTCCAAGGTCATAGACTCTTTACCTTTTTACTGTATTTTAGAGTAGCAAGTTGAAGATTAAGGGAGATGGATATGTTTTCTTTACTCCTTCTTTTAATTACATATTATCTTGCAAATAAAAGTCATGCTACTTATATACCATTAGTTTCAATTGAGATTTGAATTTTATTTTCAATCACAGTTTAAAGTATTTTTTGAATTTTTAGTCTTTCCCATTTTCTCCTCCATGTGACCAAAAACCAGTGACATGACTAAAAATTTGCCTAAACAGTAGCACAGAATGTCATATGAAATTCACACAAAAATATATATGATTTTCTTTGGCTAGCTGTTAGAAAATCCAATAATTGGTAGATTATACGTACATTTGGAAGTTAACTTTAGATTTAACAGATTGGATCAAGACGCCTTCTTTTTTAGTTTTATTTTTTCTTTAAAAAACATTTTTTTCTTTATTGATTTTAGAGAGTGAGGAAAGAAGAGGGAGAGAGAGATAGAAACATGAGAGAGAACATCAATTGGCTGTCTCCTGCATTCCCCCCACTGGGGATTTGGCCCACAACCTGGGCATGTGCCCTGACTGGGAATCAAACTAGCGACCTCTTGGTGCATGGGTCGACCTCTTGGTGCGTGGGTCGATGCTCAACCACTACGCCACATCGGCTGGGCTATTTTTTTTTTTTTTCACCCGAGGATATTTTTCTGTTTATTTTCACACAGAGTGGGAAGGAGGGAGGGAGAGAGAGACAGAGACAGAGAAACATCCATCGATGTGAGAGAGAAACATCGGTTGGTTGTCTCCTGCACAACCTGGACCTGGGCCGGGGACCGAACCACAACCAAGGTACGTGCCCTTGACCAGAATCGAATTTGCGACTCTTTTGTCCATGGGCCAATGCTCTAACTGCTGAGCCAAACTGGCCAGGCAAGATGCTTTCTTTTAGAATTAATTTATTTTCCAATTGCAGTTGACATACAGTGTTATGTTAGTTTCAGGGATACAACATAGTGGTTTGACATTTATATAACTTACAAAGTGATCACCCCAATAAGTCTAGTACCCATCTGACACTATGCATAGTTATTACAATATAATTGGCTATATTTCCTATGCTGTACTTTACATCCTGTGACTGTTTTTATAACTGGCAATTTGTACTTAATCCCTTTCAACTTTTAAACCCAGTCCTCCCACCCCCTTCTTATCTGATGGCCATCAATTTTTTCTCTGTATCTATGAGTTTGTTCTTGTTTGTTTGTTTTGTTGTTTTCAGATTCCACATATAAGTGAAATCATATGGTAATTGCTTTTCTCTGACTGACTTATTTCACTTAACATAATACCCTCTAGACCCATCCATGTTCTCTCAATTGGCAAGATTTCATTCTTTTTTATGGTTGAGTAACATTCCAACTCCTTTTTCTTCATTCGTCTATCGATGGACACTTAGATTGCTTTTATATCTTGGCTATTGTTAATAATGCCACAATTAACATAGGGGGGAATGCATCTTTTAGAATTAGTGTTTTGAATTTCTTCAGTTAAATACCCAGAAGTGGAATTTATGGGTCATGTGGAAGTTCTATTTTTAATTTTTTGAGAAACCTCTATACTGTTTTCAAATTGGTGGGTGTACCAATTTGAAATCCAACCAACAGTGCATGAGGGTTCCCTTTTCTCCACATCCTCACTAGTACTTGTTATTTGTTGATTTATTGATGCTAGCCATTCTGACAAGTGTGAGGTGATATATTTTTGTGGTTTTAATTTGCATTCCCCTGATGCTTGGTGATGTTGAGCATCTTTTCAAAAATTTGTTGATAAGGGGTTTATATAAAAATATATAAAGAACTCATACAGCTCAACACCCAAAAAATCAGCAACAAATAATCCAATGCAAAACTGGACAGAGGACCTGAATTGACATTTCTCCAAAGAAGACACTGATGGATCAAGATGTTTTAACTGATGACAATAACTAGATTGTAGGCTTCATGAGATCTGCGTCAGTCTTGAATTTCATTGTACAAGTGAGTATATTGCAATAGTTGTTAGTTGTCTCTTTTCAATAAAATATTTTTCTTTTATCTTTTATTAGAGACAAAATCTGTATCACTCTGAAATTCTCCAGTCGCTTCCTCCATCCTGCTGAAGCTTCGGTGCTATTCATTTCAAAACCGAAGACTGCAGTAGGAGGCACTACAATGGTTTTTGCTCTCAAGGGTGAAGTCCGAAAATTTAAACCCATTGTAAGTAAATTTTACATATGTTGTATGTCTTTGCTTCTCTTCTCAGGCCATGGAATATGCCAAGCATAGCTGTTCTTCCGAGTTTTATCTCCTGGCAGCTCTTGTTCCTTGAGATCCTGTGTATGTACTTACATTTGCACAGATTTTGGCCTCTGTGTCTGATATTCTTACTATAATGCTCTTTCTGTAGAAATAAGTCTCTAGTTTCATAATAGAATTTGAAAGGACTTGGACTGAGTGTTATTTTAAGGTCAGATTTTTTAGGATAACTGTACATTTGTGCTTTTCTTAAAGGATTCATTCACTATACACGTAGCAACTGACATACCCTCTGCCATGGAGACTTGTGATTTAAGTTAAAGCAGTCCCTGGGCCTGTATCTGCTTTTGTTTGAATTGAGGCTAGGTGGTTTACACAGCAAAGAAAATGTTTCTCTTCTCCAATTGGAACATTCTTCAGTTTATCTTGAGTGTCCTGTGGATCAAATTCATTATGATGGTAATACTGAGGCTGCCACTTATTGAGAGGTGATGATGTTCCAGAGTTCTGTTTATATCTCAGCAGATGAGGGAGAAGGATTTTAAACATTTCTATAAACTGATTGTGGCATTGCTATTATTGACTTTTTGTAGTCTGTACTTTGGCTAAATATTATGTTCTACCATGGACATATGGTAAAGAAGAAGTAAATTTGTTATGTTGCCAGATTTGCATATGGAATTTAAAGAATTTTAGGTGTGCAGTGGCATGAGTAGGACTTAAGTGGAATGACTCTAGTGATGATCAGTTATGTAAGGAGAGCATTAAGATGTTCACATGGACGGACTGACTGGCTTATTAGATAATAACACCCAGAATAGGAAGCAGGCATTTGATTATCACTGAGATATGTATTATAATCTTCTGATTTTCTCCTGATTAACGAACTCTTACACTTCCCAATCCTTTCACATACATTCTCTGAAAAAAAAAAGAAAAAAAAAAAAAACATTGCTTCGCCACATGTATCTAAGAGAGAGGGATGGTTTTAACCTGCTATTAACATGGCTCTGGGGTGGAAAAGTGATAATTGAAGCTCATGTTGTCTCTGTTTACTGCTCCATCTGACTATTGATGGTCTTAGTCACCAGGAGAGAGAGTGGGTAATAATAGAGAGGAAAAAAAAAAAAAGGTAAGAACACAATCAGTCTGAAAATGTAGAATTCCTAGGATCTTTTCCTTTATGGACATCCACTGAGTAATTTAAATTTTAAATTTTATTACAGTAAAAATATGTCAGTGTAGCCACTATGTTATAAACACAAGGATGCCACACTCATACACTCTCATACACAGATATTCATACACTCACACACCGGTGTGCATACACACACACATACACCTGCCTCTCCCTTATATCATGTTATTAGGTGTATATATAATTAACTAATTTGCAAATATGAAATGCTCAGTCATTAATGAAAAAATTTTAAGGAATCTATTTGGGAGATACTACTGTTGAGAGTTCAGTTGTTAGCAAAAGTTCTATGGATCAGTGATGAGGTAAAATATGAAATGTGTTTTTATTTCTTCCCACTCAGATTTTCACAATACGGTGTTTCTGAGAAAGGGTAATTATATAAATTAATATCATTGTAATATTTAAATGAACATGTTTTTAGATACTTTAAGCTTTTATTTTATACTACAGGTTATTTTCTTTTGTTCTTACTATTCAGTATATCTTTACTTATTTATTTTTTACTTTAGGAAATTATAAAATGCGAAAACCCATGTTATAACTGGAAAGAAATCACTGTGAAGGTTAAAAATGTCTTCCATATTGCTGGTGACTTCAGGTAAGTTACTGTTTTGGTGTAAATTTATTACAGTTAGCTATATCCAATCTTAAAGGAAATATGTAATGTTCTTTGACATGAACTATTTTGAGGATAATTTTTTTTTTTGTATTTGTGTTGCTATAAATGTATAAGCAGTTGGATAAAATAGAACAAGGAATGAAGGTAAATCAGTTTTCCTTGAAATGCTATTTGATCTATATAGAACTAAGACTGATCATATCAAATTTATGAATTTTATGCATAAGATTTCAGTTTGTTGAGATTTACTCATCTTCCAATTAAAAAAAATGATAATGAACAGACTTTTTATTTCTAATTTTATTTCATCTGTTAACTTCCAAAATGAAATATTTATTCAAGCAGAAAATTCGTTTTTAAGGCATCATTATTGATTAAAATAGCACATGAAATGTGAATCTGTGCACCTTGATATTTAACAAGAGCAACAACATAGATTTTAAATGAAAATACAATAAAATACCTAATTATTGTTTAAGTTCACACTAGAAAAATATCTTGATATGTATTTACATGTTGAGGGAGAATATGGACAATGATACCTTATATACTACTTAAATTACAAACTATCTTTCCACAAGCTTTAGAAATCAGATCCTCAAAATAATACTTGTGTTGAGACCATAGGTTTTATGTATGCTTATTAACATTTGATAATTTTCAGTTTTTAAAATCACTGTATGTCTAGGCTTTTGGAAGTTTCTTATCAACAGTATCACTTATTGTTGACAAAGCAGAAATTCTTTTGTTTAACAGTTATTGGTGAGTTTATGGTTCCCAAGCTCACTGAGGGAGAATTTTATTTACTATACTTTTATTAAAGTGTAATATCAGAATGTAAGGACTATCAAATGTCAGCAAATGTAACATTAATCCATTATTAAAATATGCTCTTAAATGAACCAAATGACTGACTGCAGTTTTTAAGAAGAAATCAGGATCGAACATAGTCAGCCTTGCATTCTAGTGGTAGAGCTGAAAGAAAATCTCAAAGTTCTAGGAATTGGTAGAACATTATAGTTGTATATTTCTAAAAAAAATCATAATATTTTTATTTTTACTTTGTGGTTTATCTTAGATCACATCAAAATTGTTATATCTTGTGTGGGGTGCATGGTTTGATAGAGGACAAGATTGTTAATTGGGGTAATTTGACTCCTTCCTCTCTGTATGAATGTGCCCCTTAAACTTGGGCAAAATTTTAAAACTCACAATTTAAAAAAACAATTGTAATGTTTACAAAATCAATATTTTATACTAGGCAGATATTACTTAAATTATTTTAGATGATGAAGGAGATAAGAAAGGAATTTAATGCCAATTAATTCATAGAGAGACTCTTTTTGTTATAAACAGTGTAAGTGACCTAATTTTAAATACTCTACTTTTAAACTGATCAGGATTTAGTGTTTTTTTTGTTTGTTTGTTTGTTTTTTAATCCTCACCTGAGGACATTTTTCCATTTTTTGTTCAGGTAGAGTGGGAGGGAGAGAGAGGAACAGAGAGAGAGAGAGAGACATCGATATGAAAGGGACACATCGAGTGGCTGCCACCCGCACGACCGACCAGGGCCGGGGACAAACTGCAACCGAGGTACGTGCCCTTAGCGGGAACCTAACCCGGGTCTCTCCGGACCGCAGGCCAACACTCTAACCGCTGAGCCAAACCGGCCAGGGCCAGGATTTAGTTTTTATTAATAATCTTATATTAAATGTATTTTAAAATAAAATGAAATTTTTTATATATTTAGCCCGAAATTATATGTAGCACGGTGACCAGATTTGATCTTTTTTTTCCCCCAGGTCTGTCTCCTTTCAGTTCTTTTTTCTTTTTTAAATTTATCTTTATTGTTGAAAGTATTACAGGTGTCTTCCACACTTTTCCCCCCATTGACCCCCTCCACCCTGTTCCTGTCTACCCCACCTCAGGCCTTCACCACACTATTATCTGTGTCCATGGATTATACATATAAATTTGTTGGTTAATCTCTACCCGTCCTCCCTCTCCTTTTCCCTCTGAGCTAATGTTACTTAAATTTTTTTTTTCTTTATTGATTTTAGGGAGAGAGGAAGGGAAAGGGAGAGAGAGATAGAAACATTGCCCACAACCTGGGCATGTGCCCTGATGGGGAATCGAACTGGGGACCTCTTGGTGGAGGGGTCCACGCTCAACTACTGAGCCTCACCAGCTGGCACTTTTTTGTTTTTATTCTATCATGTTTGGTATTGGCATAGCCTCTCTAGCTCTCTTGTAGTTGTATGTATGATATACATTTTTTATTTTTTTGCTTTCAGTCTATTTGTATTTTTAAATTTTTCGTTGTTGCACGCATTACAGATGTCTCCCTTTTTTCCTCATTGACCCCGTCCTTCCCACTCCCACCTGCCTCCTGCCTTCCCCAGCCTAGTGTCCATGATTGGTTGTGCACATATGTATATAAGTTCTTTGGTTTATTTCTTTCCACCTCTGCCACCCCCATTCCTCTGAGGTTTGTCAGTCTGTTCCCTACTTCCATGATTTTGGATCTCTTTGGGTCGACAGCTTATTTTGTTCATTATATTCCACAAATAACTGAGATCATGTGGTACTTGTCTTTATCTGACTGGCTTATTTGGCTTAGAGAGCATATAGTTGGATCTTGTTTTGCGTATTTATTTTAAAATATGGTCTTATAATTACTGCCTTTTGATTAAGTTGTTTAATGCATTGACATTAATGCTTTATTGACATGGTTGGATTTACATCCGCTTGTTTCCATTTGTTTTTCTATATACCTCATGCTATTTTTTTGTTTATCTATGCTGCTATAACTGCTTTATTTTACATCAAATGAATATTTTCTAATGTAGTATTTTAATTTTTAATGACTTATGAACTGCATTTTTTGAATTACATTTAAAATTGCAGATTAGCCCTGGCCAATTTGGCTCAGTTGTTAGAACATTGGCCCACAGACCAAGGGGTCACATGTTCGATTTCTGTCAAAGTCACATACCTGGGTTAAAGGTTGGATCCCTGGCCCCATTTGGGGTCATGTTGGGGGCAGCTGGTCGACATGTCTCTCTCACATTGATGTTTCTCTTTCTCTCTCCTTCCCTCCCACTCTGTGTAAAAAGTCAAAGGAAAAATATCTTCAGGTGAGGATAAACCAAAAAAATAAAAATTACAGATTAAAGGAAGTGATACATCTTTTATTAGGAATCATGTAATATCTTTTGTGTGTGTGTGGAATGTTAGCAGCCATTGATGCCAATAAGTGCATCTATTATTCATTGAGATTGCAAAATGATATTCCATTTCTATTATTTATGAAATGCATTAGTTAGAATATTTCATAAAGAGAACTTCCCATCCTCCAATTGTTTACCCAGTGGTACAGTTTATGTAAGAAAACTAAGATAAGTGCTTAATTCTTTTTTCTTTTGTATTATCTCTTGACCCACCCCCCCATTTCTCCCACCTCTGATAACCACAAATCTATTCTCTGTATCTATGAGTTGGTTTTTTGTTTTGTTTAGATTTCATCTGTAACAGTGATCATACAGTATTTGTCTTTCTGTGTCTGACTTATTTTACTTAGCATAATGCCCTCATTTTATCAATGTTGTCACAAATATCAAAAAGATTTTATTGTTTTTTTTTTACCCATTTCCTCACCTCATTCCCCTTTGGAAACTATCAGCTTGTTCTCTATGTTTTTGGGTCTGTTTCTGTTTTGTTTTGTTTGTTCATTTGTTTTGTTTTCTTAGAGTTTACATATAAGTGAATTAATAAGGTACATATCTTTCTCTGACTTATTTTACTTAGCATAATACCCTTTAGGTACATTCATGTTGCAAATGGCATGGTTTTGTTCATTTTCATTGTGAAGTAATATTCCACTGTGTATATATACCACAATTTCTTCATCTTTTCACCTAGCTACAGAGACCTAGGTTGTTTCCATATTTGGGCCATTGTAAATAATGCTGCAATGAACATAAGGGTACAAATATCTTTTGGAATTAGTGTTTTTGTTTCCTTTGGGTAAATACCCTGAAGTGGTATTGCTGGGACCTATGGTAGCTCTATTATTAACTTTTTGAGGAGCCACCATACTGTTTTTTATGATAGCTGCACTATTTTACATTCCCACCAACAATGTACAAGGGTTCCATTTTCTCCACATTCCCATCAGCACTTGTTATTACTTGATTTTTTTGATAGTAGCCATTCTAACAGCTATGAGGCAGTATCTCACTGTGGTTTTGATGTGCATTTCCCTGATGATTAGTGATGTACCTGCTGGCCATCTGTATGACTTCTTTGGAAAAATGTTTATTCAGAGCTTTTAAACATCTTTTATTGGATATATATGTGTGTGTGTATGTGTGTATTGCTGTTGAGTCATGAGTTCTTTTTATATGTCAGCTTTTAGTCCCGTATTTGATATATGATTACAAATATTTCTCCCATTCTGTAGGCTGCCTTTTCATTTTGTTGTGCAGAAGCTTTTTAGTTTGATGCAGTCCCACTTGTTTATTTTTGCTTTTGTTGTTTTGTCTTTTGGTGTCAGATTCAAAAAATCTTTGCCCAGAAATATGTCAAAGATCATACTGTCTGTTTTCTTCTTAAAGTTTTATGGTTTCAGTTCTTATGTTGAAGTATTTTATCCGTTTTGAGTTAATTTTTGTGTATGGTGTAAGATAGTGGTCAAGTTTTATTGTTTTGCACATGGCTGTCGAGTTTTTACACACGATTTATTTTAGAAACACCTTTTCCCATTGTATATTCTTGGCTTCTTTGTCTTATATTAATTGACCATATATGCATGGGTTTATTTCTGGGCTTTCTACTCTGTTACACTGGTCTATGTGTCTGCCTTTATGCCCATACCACCCTCTTCTAATTATTATAGCTTTGTAATACAGTGTGAAATCAGGAGGGTGATGGTTCTAGCTTTGTTCACCCACCTTGTTTTTCAAACTCGTTTTTCCCCTTTCTTTTTTTTCTTTCCCTCTGGTAATTCTATTACAATATCTTGGTGAATTTAATGGTGTGCCATATATGTTTGAGACTCTGCTGTGTTTTTTAAAATTCTTTTCTTGCTCTCTCTCCTTTAGATTACATAATCTCTAACAACCTTCAAGTTTGTTATTTTTTCCTGCCAGTTCAACTCCATTGTTGAGCCTGTATAGTGATATGTTTCATATCTTTCCTGTAGTTTCTAACTCCAGAAATTCCATTTGGTTCTTTTATTAATTTCAGTCTCTCTTTTTATGTTCTATATTTAATGTTTGTCTATTCTTTAGAATGAATCATTTTATACTACTTGTTTTCAAGTGTACTGGTTGTTTTACCACCTTGAACTTACTGTTGAGACCCTCTAGTGATTTTTATTTTCAAATAATTTACTTTTGAAGTGCAGAATTTATAATTGGTTATTTTTTAGAATTTCTCTTTATTGATATTATTTATTTTGTGAGACATCATTGTCTCTCCTAGGTAGAGTTGAAGATCTTTGACACATTTTGGGTATCTAGCGAGCTACTGCAACCCTGCATATGGGCACCTTGTTCCCCAGATCTTTCTCTTATGGTTTGGCTGGCTCATATTTGTTCCAAATTGTGTAACAGCCTCGGGTATGAGTGCTACTGATTGTTTTCAACAAACATTCTGGGGATATGTGTTTTCCTTTGAGTCAGGTCAAATAAAGACAGCGCTAAGTAAATTGAGTTTTTTCCAGAGAACTGCAAGACAGGTTAAACGGTAACCATGCTCAGGGGTGGGAGTTTTTTGAAGAGCTCCAATTTCAGTCTGTGCCCTCATGTGTCTACTCCCAAAAGAAATCTGTCTATTTTTTGGAAATAGGATTAGAAATTATTAAATTTATACAACTCTAACAATGCATGAAAGCCAGTGTGTGATTTCCTCCTTGTTTTAGAATATAATTTGGGTAGTAATTTATGTTCTAAGTTTCCTTGCAGTGAGAATTTAGTGTTGCCTTGCAATATAAAAGAATATTATTTTTCACATATCTCCATTCCAGATTTTTTAATTTTTCTAACATATGTTTTGAGTTGTAGAATGAGAACTTGTGGACTTTTAAAATTGTAATTTATTCTGATTCTAATTATGTTTTGTTAATGATGGAAAAAATTTAAAGGAACAATATTTTGTAGCCATCTGAATTTTGTTGTAGTAGAATACAAAGTTATTTATTTATTTATTTATTTATTTATTTATTTATTTATTTTAGCATCATTTTGGTGGAATCCTCAACATTTATCTCGTTGACATCTCAATTAAGTGCACCTGGACAACTCCTTATCTTTAGAAACAAGGGGTAAATATCTATACATATTTATGCTAATAATTACCTGATTAAAAATTCTGAGAAATTTGAGTAAACTTGTTATATAACTCCATAATGTTTTTCATTTATTTGAAATATTTTATTTATATTATTCTTATTCTCTTATGTGGTGCAAGTTGATGTGCATGAAAATTGAATAAATATGCACATGATTAAATACAGTGAATTCTCATTAATCATGGTAGTTATGCTCTATAAAATTGCTGCAACCATTCAATTAGTGAATACTGAACCATTGATCCTAGGAGAAATATATATCATCACATAGATGATAATCATAAATCATAAAAATAACCCGTCCTGATAGCTTCTACTTTCTTTACACAAAGAAAATGAGGTTCAGAAGTGTTAAATGACTTGCCTGAGGCTGTGCCATTAACAGGTGCCAAAGAAAGGTGTCAAACCCTGTCCACCTGGCCCCAGAGCTGGAGCTTCTTGCAGTTCTGTAGTGTACTTGATTGTCTCCATCCTCTGGTCATCTGTATATGAGAAATGAGACAAAGAGATCCAGTGTCACCTTGTTTGACTTCAGCTGGAAACTTGTGTGACCAGGAACTTGAACTTTTTGCCGTTCTGCACATGTCTGCAAACGACTGTTAAATTCACATGAATATTGATTTTGGGCTTACAAATAAATTTTAGCAAGGAGATGAATTTGCAAATAATGGAATTCATGGTAGTGAGGATTGACTGTATTTAAGTTTATTCCACCTATTGTTTTATGAAATCTTATTTAGTTTAGAAAGAAGCCTTGACTTATGAATAGAGAAGTAGAATTTTTTAAAGTTAAATTGCTTTGTATTTCTCATCTGTTAAACTACAATTGACCCTTCAACAACCGGATTTGAACTGTGAAGGTTCACTTAGATAACAGATTTTTAAAAATAAATCCTGTAAGTGTATTTTATCTTCCTTATGATTTTCTTAATTACATTTTCTTTTCTCTAGCTTACTTTTTTTCTGGGAATACAGTATATAATACATATATTAACACAAAAATATCTGTTAATCAATTTCTTATGTTATTGGTAGATTTCTGGTCAACATGCTATTAGTAAAGTTTTTGCAGGAATCAAAAGTTACATGTGGATTTTTAATTGCATGGGGAGTTGGCACCCCCAAGTTGTTCAAGGGCCAACTGTATAGAATAACTATTTAAAATGAAGAGAATAAAAACAATGTTGCCAAGATTAATGAAAGTCAGATGGAAAGAAAATAATGCAGATGTCTATTAATGAAATGCATGTACCTTTTCTCCTGTGTAATGCTCCAGAGCATCATTGTCATTCTTTTAGATGCATCAACCAGGGGCCAAGGTTTTGGCCATATTGATACCATCAGAATTCCCAAGTCATTAGAAACCATTGAAGTGATTGTGCAAATCTTGCTTAGATTTAAATGAATATAGATTAGTTTTCAAAAGTGAATTGTACTTAAACCAATAACTTTAAATGATAAGAATTGAATTTATTATTAAACACTTCATTTTTATTGTTTTTTTCTGTGAGAAAATTGTTAAAGGAAATTTCATTTTTGACTTACTGCATTTCATGCTTAACTAAGGCATTCAGTTTCCTTTCACTTTTGGCTGTTGTGAACAATAAAATATTAATTAATACATTAAGCTATAAGATAGCATATAGATATCATAAGAGCAGAATATTGTTGGTATTTTATGTTAATTTCTTTGTAGTATGAAATGCTAGTATTACTTTAAAAACCTCAGTAAACATTTATCCTACATTTTAACCTTTTCAGTCCCTTGTTTATTGATTAAGAAGCTGCTTTGTAATCATAGATTTTGCCTGAATTGCCTTAAAATAATTTCTTTACATTAATTGCAAGTAATTTATAGTATTACATATTAAAGTCAGATCTCAAAGCATTGCTATAGGTGTCTGTGAGCACAAGTAACTCAAAGATGGATTAGTTCAGTGAACAGCAAAATTGAGTCTACTTTCCCAATTTGGAATGTAGTGTAGGAATTCTGCATCCAAAATTTTAACATGATTTTCTTTCATATAATATTCTGGAATGGATTTGATTACACTCAAAGTCTAAAATTATTGAAGCCATCCATTTTAAAGCTTCAGGGAAAAACATTTTCTTTTTGTTATGCTTCTCAAATAAAAAACAAAGTGGTATGAACAACTATAGAAGCATTTATAATTTAATTTTAGAAGGAAAAGTAACTTTGGCAATACTCATTCAAAATAATTGCCCATTTAAGATGAACTACAGGTTAAAAAGTATGTCTACTGTGGCCTCAAACATTACTGGTCATTCTTTCTCATACAGTCTCTTCCATTTGTATTTATAATACTGTACTTTCTTAGTTCTTCTCACAAGCCTTTCTGTGAGAAAAGAAACAAAGGTGCAGTGATGCTGAGTGTTGTGTCAGGGATACCGTGATCCAACATACAGCAGTCAGACTTCTGCAGATTGACTCTCAAAGGTTAACTCAGAGCCATTGTTTTAAGAATTGAGAACTAACTCCTCTGCACATTTGTGAAGACTGTTTCCCACATCAAAGGCAAGGTTGTGACTTATAAAGGCAAAAGCCACACAGTTTCTCAAAGAGAAGGACTAGTCCTTGGGTCATTTTAGAATTGACATGGGCTGAATGCAGAGCTCCCGTGTCCATATGTTGAGTTAAGATAGAAAAGTCTCAAGTTCACCCAAAAGGCTGTGTTTTTCTGATAGTTTTGAAGAGATTTATTAGAAGTAGTTAATGTGGTTCCTTCTTCTGGGGTCCTGAGTGCTTGCTGTATAACACCTCCAGGCTCCAATTCATGGAGCAGGCACATCTTTATTCACTTTCTCAAGGGTCAACTAAAATATCCAGAACTCCAACAATCAAAACCACTTTGTAGGCAGCAGAAAAGAGGAAGCACAAGGATAAAAGTGTGCCCTTTCTTTGTGAGAGAAGGTTCCCAGAAACACCACACAGTACTTGTGCTTGTAGCCCATTGGCCAAATCCTAATCAGGTAAATGGACCTAGCTAGAAGAAGAACTGAGAAACCACCCTTCTTCACATATACACCAAAATAAATTGAGGTGTTGTCAGTGAGGAGGAAAGAGCCAGTGGTTATGGGAATTGGCAACCAACAATTTTCACCATGAGGAGACACAGAAGAGACTCATTTAATCTCCAGATATCACAGAGTTATCTAATATTTTATCAATCTGGCTTCATTGGCATAATGAAATCTTTTGATTGTTTTTTAAACATTTTAATTTTATTTTTAAATTGTTTTTCTTTATTGATTTTAGAGAGAGAGAAACATCAATGACAGAGAACATCGATTGGCCACCTCCTGCATGCCCCCACTAGGTATCAGGCCCACAACCTGCATATGTCCTGACTGGGAATTGTACTGGCGACCTCTTGGTGCAGGGTTCGATGCTCAACCACTGAGCCACACTGGTTGAGTATATCTTTTGATCTTTAAATGTCTTAATGAAATAATACTTAATAATATTATACATCCTGTTTTTCTTTTATTTTTTAATTGAGCTTTTAGATGGAGAGGATGGGAGAGAGATAGAAACATAGATGAGAGAGAAACATTGATTGGCTGCCTCTTGCATGCCCCTACTGGAGATTGAGCCCACAACCTGGGCATGTTCCCTGCCCTCTTAGTCCATGGGATGATGCTCAATCCACTGAGTCACACCGGCCAGGCTAAACTACTCTTTTAAAGCAACAGATACATATAAAACAACACATTTTAAATCAAACAAATAATAAAACTTTATATTCATCATGTATTTTACTGTGGAAACATGATTCATGAGCATAAGCAAGTTTAGTTAAGGTGTTTTTATTCTAATTAAATTCAAAGGCTTATCAGAAAGGATCAGGACAGGGGACTGATTTTAGCCGCACTTTAAAATTGTGTGATCAATAAGCTGTGCTCACATATGAACACTTTGTGAATAATTTCCAATAGTAATATGACTTACCACTTTTTTCTAACAATATTGAATTATTTATCATTCAATCAATACTTACCAAGTGGCATTGCAAGCACTGTTCTTAGTACTGTAGAAATATAGGGATAAATAAGTCACAGATCTGGTTCTCAATGAGCCAACCATCAAATAGAGAAGAAAAAAAAATCTGGACAAATTGGAAGCAATTGTTTGGAGAAGAACACATTCAATAGTTTATGTTATTTAAAAAAAAATTTCTCTGTGAGCTAATTGGGAAGGAATATCAATATCTAGACATTATAGGGATATTCACAGAAGAGAAGACATTTAAAGAGAATAGTGAGATACGAAACACTTTTATTTTTCGCATACACTGTACTCTGGTGTTCTCTTTTATCAGACACAAATTTAAATTCACAGATTCACTTTATCCTCATAACCCAGGTTAGTGCTCTTTGCTTCAGAGACTTTTCAACTACTCAGAGGCTAACGTGTACCAAAAACAGCAAACATCCCATTTTTACTGTGCTGTAGATGGCCACCAAGCCTTTTTTTTTTTTTTTTTTTAAAGAACTTCTAGACACATGGAGGATAGAATGAATAAAAAAATTGATCCTTTTATATTTTTCCCCACAATATATAAAAACTTGACTTGTACTAGATAATTTGCTATTTGGTTTAGACACAACTCTGAATGCTGGCCCAGGTGTAGCTTCATGAAGGCCTATAATAAAGATTTTTGTTCCCTACTGGGAAAGGCTTGAATAGAAAGTTATTCTTGGGGCTGATGTATTCATGCCCTGAATAGAACCAGTCCGATGTCATTTTGATCATTTAATTTGACAATGGCTCTGTAGTAGTGGGATAAGTAGGTTCCACTCCCTGACTTTGGCCCACTCTTAAATTAGCAGAACATATTCCACTGCTTAATCTACAGTATTTTATATAATTTTAGCTTCTTTTGATTCAATTTATTCCTTAAGACCAAGAGTTTAAACGTACTCCCCCTGCCATGGCTTCTACAGTAATCAATGAGCATCTAGGAAGAAGATAGCATCCATGGAGGTGCAGGGAGTAACAAAAAAGTAAATGAGCTGTTTTCTGTTCCATCTTTGAAATATCCAAAATGCTGGTTTTGTAAACAAGTTGAGATTATCATTGGATTTCTAAACCCAAGAACACTTATTAGGTAAAATAGAATTTTTCTGACCCAGATTATTTTATTAAATTTTTCCTGATGTCTCTGAGTTAATCATGATAATCATTACTTTATAAGCAAAGCAATAAAATTCTTAGGTCTGTGTGTTTTTTTCTATCCGTCTTTACAATAAATAGTACAGGTAACTCAATTTTTCTGGGTTTGAGAGTCCCCTTTGAGAATGAAGCACCTCTTTGATTTATTCAAAAGGCACTTTCATTAGCTGTTCTCCAACAAAATAGGTAAAGGAAAAAAAAGGAGATGAAGCCCAAATTGCTTTGCCTTTCTATTCACTATGAAAAAAAATAACCGAAAGGCTAGAGATTGCAAGTATTGAACAAAATGAGGTTTAGAGATTATCTAAGGATTTTTACTCAGGCATTCTTCCCTGAGCTCCATTATCAAAGACATGGCAGTGGAGCTCTATATTGAGAAATAAGTGGTTTTTTTGTTTGTTTTATTATTTTTGTTGTTGTTGTTGTTTCCACTCTGTATAGTCTTCCTTCTAAATGCTGAAATATTTATCTATTGTAAATACGATAGCCTTAAATTTAAGTATCTATCAAATGCTCAAATTACATAAAACATTAAATGTTCTCTCATTTTTAAAAAAAAGACGTTACTTAAACTGCTACTCAGAATGCCTGTGAAGTAGAAGTAAAGCACATAATAATTATAAAATGTGGTAAATAACCTTATTAAGAATGTGGTGTAAAGAAAAGACAGCGTTTGGAGAAATGGCCTGGATATGGTTAGAGGAACTTTACTTGGAAATAGTCAATATATTTTTACAGTATCAAATTTAGGCAGAAGCAAATGATAAGGTAAGAAAATATGGTGGGTTTTTTTTGTATTCTCAGGGAAAAAAAAAGCACACAAACATTATCTGAGAGTCCAGATACTAATTGACAGCTTGTTGAGCGAAGTAATTATGAATACTAGCAGAAGAGCAATTTGGGGGAAATTGATGGGTTCTGGAAGAATGGAACCTTTCAAGAGAGGCAGTTGCCTCAGGCTGTGATCTGCTAATTAATTTTCAGAAATGCAAGCAGAAATTAAACAGCTGCCCATGTCTCCTTCTACCTTTATTGAGAAGAAGCAAATGTGGAAGCAATAAGCTGAGAGAAGAGAACCACCTACTTTTGAGTCTCAGGATTTGTTTTTTTTTTATTATTATCATCATCAATTATTTACTTCTCTATAGTATTTGAAAGTAAAAAGGAATTGCTTTTACCAAATATTCAAAAGTGGTGGTGGAAATATGGATAATTGTTAGTTTCCTTTTTGCATTTTTCTTATTTTTAAAATTTCCAAAACAATATAAACATTAAAATGATAGGCGAAATAAATCTGTGGTCTTTGCACACCATATTGTAGGTAGCCATAGTTTTAGGAATCTGTAAGATTAAATTAAGATAAAGAATTGTTTTTGAGTTTTGTCTGTGTTGTTGATGTTTTTCTATTCACTTATGACAGTAATGATGGAATTACCAGTGAACTTGATACCGCTGAGGACCTCTTTCATGCTCCCAAAACCTTAAAAACCTGTGAGTACCTCCAATTAAAACTTTTATTGTCTTCATGTATTATTTTTATGTACAGAGCATACTATGAAATGAAACTAGAGACAGAATGGCAAGTCCTAGGGGTTGCTGGCTGAATGGGAGGCTGAGTGTTGGTCCTCAGCCTGTTTATGACCCTTTGGCGGACTCTGCCCACATCTTTCTTTTCACTCCTGGGTCTTAGTTTCCTCATCTGCACAATGAATGTATTTAAACAAACGACCTTTATGTTTCTTTTGGCATATTCTGAACTGCTTAAATCAATTTAGGTGACAGGTATCACCATGCTTAAAATTATAAGGAGAATACAGATTACTTTGTTTTATGAAATAACTATACATTTATAAAATATGGATAGGAAAATGGATATAGAATGTTTTGGTTATCTATTACTACAGATAAAGCACCCCAAATGTGGTGGCATTAAAGAATAAAAATGAAATGTGATTAGTATCTCTCAAACTTTTGGGGTGACTGGCCTCAGCTAGGTGACCCCTTTTAAAATTTATTTGACAAGGTACTACTTTTATTTTTTATTTTTATAGCTAGGTGACTCTTGCAATTATAGTCAGCTCAAGGCTGGGGCTTGAGTCATCCCAAAGGATTCCTGACTGAAATGTCTGATGATTAATGCCTTTTGTCTGGGGCCTCAGGTAGGGCTATTGGCCTGGACACTTTACATGTGGCCTCTCTATGTGGCTTAGGCTTCCTCAAAGGATAACAACTTGATTCTAAAAGCAAGTGAACCAAGAAAGAGAGATAATTAAGGAGAAGTTTATAGAGATTTTCTGATCTGGTGTCAGGAGTCACACTACTTGACTTTTCCTACATTCTAGCATACTGTTCATTGGGATCAAATCACTAAGACTCGCCTACCATATCACCACATTCAAGGCAATGTGGACATGTTTTAAAACCAACAGTTCAGATCGTCTATTACTTCCTGTGATGAACCATTGCGTAGTCCCCCCAAATTTTAAAGATTCTTTGATGACCGCTTTGCTGTTTATATGTATATATCAAGCTAATTTTAAACACAAGTGAAGTTCCCTTTGTAAATAAGTAATTTATTAAGGTGTCTTTAATAGTGCTTCATAATTATTATTATTTTTTATATCAAGCTTGTGCTAGGGTTGCTGGTACTTTTATTAACAAATATATGTATAATCTTCTAAATTTGTGTGCTAATGCTTTGAACATTTTGTTATTCATCCCAAAACTTTGATCACTAATTGAAACAGCTACTTTATGTGAATGGCACCTAAGCAATGATATGTAAACAAACTCTGCTTCATGTTTTGGCAGCAATTAGATCCAGTTTCATCAGAGAGTTCTTCTGCTCCTCACCAACTATTCACCTGGGAGTGAAAAAGACCTCAGACTTGGAGCTCTTCTTTGTTCCCTTTGACATGCAAACACGCTACTGTGTCATCATCCTCAACAACAAAATGGTAAGAACAAAACTGTGGTGTGTGCTCATTGTGCCTGGCGCTCTAATGGAATATCTAGTACAGGCAACTTGATGGCAGCTGAAGACTTTACAAACAGATAACAGTTTCAGCACTCTAGTAGCTAAACAGTTTACTCTCAAGAATAAGAGGAGTTACACTAGCGGAGGGTATGTTTTATAAGGGCTGTCTAGGGAAGTTCCATGGAAGCAGAGTGGAGGCATGCCTAACTTTGCTGTGGCCTTATTTGTATTAATCTATTGTTGCATAACAAATTACCAAACACTGAGAGGCTTAAAAACAACACACATGTATTATGTCACGTTTTCAGTGGATCAGAGGTCCAGACATGATCTAGATGGGTTCTCTGCTTAAGGCCTATCAAGCTTTCAACAAGGGATTGGCCAAGCTGGGTTCTCCACAGAGGTTCATGTGAGAAAGGAGCTGTTTCCAACTTCTCGCAAGTTATTGACAGAATTAATTTCGTAGTGGCTCAGGGATCCATGTGTCTTGTTTCTTGAAGACAGCAAAGGAGAGGGACTGAAAGAGAGAAAAGAGAAAGGGAAGGAGGGAGACAGAGCGAGAGAGAGATAGAGACAGAGAGTGGTGCAGGAGAGGATAGAGAAAGGGGGGGGAGGAAGGGAGGGAGGGAGAGAGAGAGAGAGAGAGAGAGAGAGAGAGAGAGAGAGAGAGATCGTCTCTAGAGAAGAGTTTTATGGCATTATATCTCTCCAGAAAGACTATGTGTTAACCTGAGAAGGGAATTTATAACCCCCAGGATATAGCCCCAAATGCATCAATTATGTATCAATTATGCACTGTTTTGAATGTATATGTAGTGGGATAATGGTAATTAGAAAGAAGTATTGTATTTACCTGATGTCTATAGGATCATTTGCATATGAAAAATAATATAGACTGTGAAATATGTAAACTATAGTCCAGTTTTACACTTAAAATTACCACTTAGGAAGAAAAATGTTGTTTTATGGTAATGCTAAATCTTATTTCTTATTTCCTTGAAAGAAATTCAGTATTTAACTGAATTCCTCTATATAACATTTTATGAAAAAAAATTGTTAGGTTAAATGTTTCACAATCCCTTTTTTATATCAATTTATAATATAGCCCTAGAAAAATGCTAGGGTTAATTCTCAATAGCATGGTAAGGAAGTTGATTTTATTCTTTAAATTAGACTATTGGAATATTAGTATTTGCTTCCATAAATTTTATCTAAATTAATCAAAATAGAATTACATTTGACATCTCAATTTATTAAAACATGACTTTTGATTACATATAATTTGTCCTTGTCAGAAAAATATTAAGAAAAATAATCATAAAGTTATATTGCTATGAATTAAGAAATAATGCCCTTAATATAAAGGATTGCATTTAATTACATTTACTTACATGGGGAAAATGCATCTATTAATTTGCACATTCAATTTTATTTCTAATTATATTGAAAAATGCAATTACACGCTTAAATAGATAATCAAATATCCAGGTCCACGTAGTTAGCTCATGTTCTTATTAAATGTGTGATAACGATAACTGCTTTGCCATTAAGAACCACCTGTTGAAAACTGTAAAGTAATTAGGACTCAATTTGACAGCTTTCCATGTGTAAAACAGAATTGTTTCTACTAACACTGCTAACAAGGAAAAGCCATTTGTTTCACTTTGGCTGTTCCATTCAAACTTACATATTAAAAAATGAAATGAGTTATATAACAGTTGCTTGAAAGTAGAGTTTTATAAAACTTTCCATCAGTGTTCATAGAATTTCTTTATATATATATAAAGAAATATGTATATTATATATGTATATATAAAGAAATATGTATATTATTATATATGTATATATATATAATATGCATATATGTATATTATTGTTGAAATTATTACAAATGCCTCCCTTTTTCCCCCAATGACCACCTCTTGCCCACTCTCACCCCCCCGCTCTCCCACACTAATATGTGTCTATTGGTTGTGTATACATTCATATAAGTTCTTTGATTTATCTCTTCCCATCCTCCCACTACACATCCTTCTGATGTTTGTAAACCTGTTCCCTACTTCCATGACTCTGGATCTATTTTGATCGGTAGCTTATTTTGTTCATGATAAACCGTAAATAAGTGATATCATGTAGTACTTCTCTTTTTCTGACTGGCTTATTTTTCTCAGCATAATACTCTCCAGGTCCCTCCTTGTTGTCTCAAAGGGTAAGAGATCTCTCTTTCTTACAGCTGCATAGTATTCCATTGTGTATATGTACCACAGCTTTTTTATCCACTCATCTACTGATGGACAATTGGGCAGTTTCCAGATCTTAGCTATTGTAAATAGTGCTGCTATGAACATAGAGGTGCATGTATTCTTTCTGATTGGTGTTTCAGGCTTCTTAGGATATATTCCTAGAAGTGGAATCACTGGGTCAAATAGCAATTCCATTTTTAATTCTTTGAGGTAACACCATATTGCTTTCCATAGTGTCTGCACCAGTCTGCATTCCCACAAGCAGTGTGCTAGTGTCTCCTTTTCTCCACACCCTCACCAGCACTTGTTTAAAGATTTGTTGATGGCAGCCATTCTGGCAGGTGTGAGGTGATACCTCATAGTCATTTTAATTTACATCTCTCTGACGATTAGTGATATTGGACATTTTTTCATATGTCTACTGGGCAGTTGTATATCCTCTTTGGAGAAGTGTCTATTCAGGTTCTCTGCCCTTTTTTTCATGACATTGTTTGTCTTCCTTTTGTTGAGTTGTATGAGTACTCTATATGTTTTGGATATTAACCCCTTATCTGATGTATCATTGGCAAATGTGTTCTCCTAGAGACTGGGCTCCCTTTTCATTTTGATGGTAGTATATTTTGCCATGCAGAACATTTTTAGTTTGATGTAGTCCCATTTATTAATTACTCCCTTTGTTTCTATTGCCCTAGTCAATGTATCAGTGAAGTATGATGTCTGATATTTTTTCTGCCTACATTTTCTTCTAGGATTTTTATGTTTTCACTAGTTAAACTTTAATCTTTCATTCATTTTGAGTTTATTCTTGTATACGGTATAAGTAGGTGGTCTAGTTTCATTTTTTTTTTTGTATGTACCTGTCCAATTTTCCCAGCACCATTTATTGAAGAGACTGTATTTTCTCCACTGTATGCTCTTACCTCCTTTGTCAAATATTAATTGAATATCATATCTTGGGTTGATTTCTGGGTTCTCTGTTCTGTTCCATTGATCTATATGCTTGTTCTTGTGCCAGTACCAGGCTGTTTGTTTTGATAATGATGGCTTTGTAGTATGACTTGATATCTGGTATTGTGATCCCTCCAACTTTGTTCTTCTTTTTTAAGATTGCTGTGGCTATTCAGGGTCTTTTATGATTCCATATAAAATTTTGGAATATTTGTTCTAGATTTGTGAAATATGTTATTGGTACTTTCATAGGGATTGCATTAAATCTACAGATTGCTTTCGGTAGTATAGACATTTTAATGATGTTGATTTTTCCAATCCATGAACATGGTGTATATTTCTGCCTTTTTATATCTTCCTCTATTTCTTTTTTTCAGTGTCCTGTAGTTTTGTGAGAACAGCTCTTTTACCTTCTTGGTTAAGTTTATTCCTAGGCACTGTATTCGTTGTTGTTGCACTGGTAAATGGGATTTTTTTGTTGTTGTTTCCCTTTCTGAGTTTTCATTATCGGGATATAAGAATGTCATTGATTTCTGGATGTTAATTTTGTATTTTGCTACTTTCCTAAATTCATTTATTAAATCTAGTATATTTTTGATAGAGTCTTTAGAGTTTTTCATGTACAATATCATGTTATCTACAAATAATGACAGTTTCACTTCCTCCTTTCCAATTTGGATCCCTTTTATTTTTTCTTCATGTCTAATTGCTATGGCTAAGACTTCCAGTACTGTGTTAAATAAAAGTGGTGAAAGTGGGCTTCCCTGTCTTGTTCCTGTTCTTAAGGGAAATGCTTTTAGTTTTTGCCCATTAAGTGCGATGTTGACTGTAGATTTTTCATATATGGCCTGTACTATATTGAGATATCATCTGTCTATTCCCATATTGCTGAGTGTTTTTATCAGAAATGGGTGCTGGATTTTGTCAAATACTTCTTCAGTATCTGTTATGATCATATGATTTTTATCTTTCATTTTGTTTATGTGAGGTATCACATTAATTGATTTGAGAATATTGTACCAGTCTTGCATCCCTGGGATAAATCCTACTTGATCATGTTGAATTTTTTTTAATATATTGCTGTATGCTATTTGCTAATATTTTGTTGAGGATTTTGGCATCTGTGTTCATCAGGGATGTTGGCCTGTAGTTTTCTTTCTTTGTAGTGTCTTTATGTGATTTTGTAATTATGATTATGTTGGCCTCATGAAAAGAGATTGGAAGGCTTACTTCGTCCTGAATTTTTGCTTCCTGACTTTTATGCCATTTCCTTTGACCAAATTAGGGAAGTTTTTTGCCACTATTTCTTCAAACACATTCTCTAACCCTTGCTTACTTTCTTCTTCTTCTGATACTCCTATGTTGTGGATGTTGTTATGCTTAATTCTGTCCCACAGTTCTCTTAAACTGTCCTCTTTTAAAAATTGTTTTTTTCTTTTTGACCTCTGATTGAATTTTTTTTCCCTGTCTTCTAATTTGCTGATCTGATCCTTAGCTTCCTCTGATCTGCTGGTTATTCCTTCCAGTGTGTTCCTTATTTCTGCTATGTCATTCTTCATTTCTGCTTGGTGATTTTTTATTTCCAATTGGTTGATTTTTATTGTTTTTATATCTTTACTCATGCTGTTGAGCTTCCTCATAATCATTACTCTGAACTCTACATCTGATAACTTGCTTATCTCCATTTCAGTTGGCCCTTTTTCTATAGAATTCCTTGTTCTTTCATTTGGGATTTTTTGTTTGTTTGTTTGTTTCACCATTTTGGCTGTCTTAGCAGAGTTTGGAACCT